GGCCGATTTTCAGCTTGGATCCTGCACGCGAATTGAAGTAAGAGATAACTAAATCCCAGCTCTGCTGTAATATTTGGTAACGTAACTGGTCGCAATATACTTTATACAGTAAGATTTTTTTATCTCTCTCTATTGTGCTATTAATATTTTATATCGATGTGTGAGTAAAGTAGTACAATACATTTAATAAACGACGAATATATTTAATAAATTGTGAAACTTAATTTTACAAGATATTTATTAAAACATTAACTTATAGAAAATTCTTGATCTACATCTTTGCAAGTAGTTTGTGCCCTGGCAGCCAAATGTAGCGTGTAAAGTATAGAATAGAGACAGAGATATTTGACAATTTTTCATAAGTGATGATAATCTTTATATGCAAATGTATACGAAACTTGAAAAAATAATGTATACCATTGTATACATAGATCGCGCTTGACGCTTTTCTGTGCGAGAGAGTGAATGAAATATCAGATGTAATATTATAATTCGAATACATAATGTCCCGTGAATCTTACATAACATCCTCCGAAAGAATATGATAATGCTGAAGATCGTTGGTTTGATGATCCGGCGGACAGAGGAAAAATTCAATGAAATTAAGCACGGGTCCACGACTGAAAGGATTCAAGTATTTGCCCTTCTTGTCCCTCAAATACGAATACCTCTTATAATTGAACATTTCGTTGGTAGTTAAATTCATACATGCATGTAAGACCTATAGTAAAGAGAAATAATAATAGAAAATTACATCGAAAGAAATGTAGCAATAATGTAAATATATCTACCGAGGTACACGTTAGAATCCAACCGAGCCCGCAAAAGATGAGAGCCTCCAATACACCGAGAATATACAAGAGCTGTATTCCCTCAATTGCGATGCAATAACACGCGAAATATAACGTGAAAGAGCAATTTATCGCCACGCACATAACGAATAGGAAGAACCACATTCTGAAAACAAACGAAAGAGAATGAGAAGAAAAATAATTTAATTAATAAACCAGCCACGTATACGTAATAATGTATCGATCGTACCTGTTGCGTAGGCCAACGCAATTGTATATAAATGGACAGTGATGATCGAAATATGTGACACATCTGTTGCAAATTCTGCAGTGTTTAGCTCGGAGGGGTCTGAAACACCTGCAGCTGTGACATAATCGCGATAGTAAGACATTCCGTTTCTTCCACTTATCGAAGTACGGAATCTATGGAAAAACAACAAAACAGGACATAGCAATATGTTAATTGTAGTTTACGGTTTTATTATTGTGCGTGGTATGATGAACCTGTTTTATCGCCCTGTAGTAAGTGTCACTGTTTTGCGGCACGTAACCGGGGTCTCTTCTGTTAGCGACGATCCACGAAATCCACATGAGAATGTTCCAGTAAATGAAGCAATAATGACTGCCTCGCAAGAGATTCCACGTTAACGGAATGCACTTCAACAGGTACATCGGGTATCCCCATAGCAGGACGGATATCATGAACAACAACAACGGTCCCTTGCTGTTGCCCGCTCCGCCAAATAGTAGCGCCCTTAAAAGCAAATGACACATATAACAAGAAATTCAGTTCATTTCTTTATACTTTACTAGAAAAGGTGTGAGCCATTTCACGAGCACACCCGACGAATACCATAGCTCATTAATGGGCGGTATCCATCTGGCACGGCGTTTCTGTTCCGCCTGCAGAATGCGCACTATCTCCGAGTGGCGATGACTCTTGGCCAGCTGCAGCGGCGTCTTGCCATTTTTGTCGCGCGGTTCAAGCTCGATTTTACTCTTTTCACAGAGGATCCGGACGCAACTGACGTTGCCGGACAGGCAGGCCAAATGAAGCGGTGTCGAACCGAAGTAATCAGGTTTTTGTAGATCCACTCCGCTGTATATCAATAGCTTAATGAGCTCGGCGTGTCCTTTGTACGCAGCCCAATGTAACGCGGTGTCACCATTTATGTCGGTCAAATGTCCCTGCGCGCTGGATCCTAGCAAGAAGGCGGCCGTCGCGAATTTGCCAAACATGCAGGCGGTCATCAGAGGCGTTAGGCCTTTAAAATCGGCCGCATTGACCGCAACTCCCGCCTGTGAAGGGAAAAAGTGTGAACGGCGAATTAATCAAGATATTTGGAAGAAACTAGTCTCTTTGAGACTATAGATAAGGATACCTTTATACCTTCAATAATAATTGTACTATCGCACTATGGCCTTTTCGACAAGCCCAATGTATCGGCCTGGGTCCTTGGGTGCCAAGGCACGGTAAATCGACGGGTCCGCTCCGTTCTATCAAATATCTCATTACCTGTTGAAAACAGGTTGTAAATTGTTTACAGTTGTATCTTCTAGCGCAAGAATTTTAACTTTACTAATCATTTTTTACAAAATGAGGAATTTAAGTTTTTTTAAATAAAAATTAATAAAAATCTGTATCTGTGTCTCTGGAAACTAACTTCAACGTTGCCGTCCAAAGCAGCCCAATGCGCAGGTGTATATCCCCATTCGTCTCTCGCGCTAAGTATATTCAGTCCGTTTTTCTCGACCAGTTCCTCGACTGCCTCGATTTCACTGCAATACGAACTCTTTGCATTCTTCCCGTACACTACTCTTCCTGATCGCAAGCAAATTCTATTCTCTTTCCAAGATCTCACCCGGCTCTGAGCAATTCAAAGATCTGTTTGGTCTCATCGGTGGGGCTTTGGCCAGTGGTAGCTTCGTCCGCATAGATATTGTCGTCAGGACGATTCCTCTGTCGCGTGTCCTTGCCGGAACCGTGATTCTGATGACCAGATATCGGATTGTTCGGTAGATGCCCGACCATGTCGGGATCTGGACTTAGTTCCCATACGGATCGTGCCGCGCCAGGCCCTGCCACAGGGCTCACCGGATACACCTATAAGCAGGATGTCGATTGTCGATCAAACAAGAAGAAACAACTATCAATTCCAAGCCAAATACTGCTACCTGCCCAGTTAGCCCAGTATAGTCTACTACTTGATAGTATACCAACCGAGTAACGTATGAGTAACATCAATTTCACACTCGAAAATGTAATTGTCATGTAATTAATATCATCAAATGCGTTACATTATAATTATAATATATATATATATATAAAACAACGATGTCACTTTTAATTGCAGTGTCGGGACTAGCTGAAGACTAGAATAATTAGATAAAAGATTAGTAGTTGTAATACAAGTCGTGCGCTATTCAGCGTACGATGAATAGAGTACATACATGTACGTATATACAATAGTTTTTCATTAATTATTCGTGTTTACTAATTTGATATATTCTCGTTTTTAATTCGTCTTTTACCTTGCACAGCGTCGCGAGTTCTGTATTTGTACGCTCGTTTTCGGAAAGCGTTCTGAAGGATGCGCTTTGCGTGCCGATCGTTCCTGCACCCTCCGGGACGGTTAGTCACAAGGAAACATTGGGCCCAACCATGTCTTCCAGGTCTCACCTGACAGCGCAGCTTTTCCTCCAGACCCAAAACGATTGAGAATGTCCAGTACGTCGGACTCGGCTGAATCCTCCGAGTCCTAGGAAATACGTATATATATAATTGATGTATTGTATAAGCAGAAGCACTTTTCTCACGCGACCAGCGATGCTGAAATTTCTGAGAATGTCTTGGACCTGTACCTACTGTTTTGCGCATTCGAATCAATAACGCGGCGACGCGACGCTTGCGTGCGAGTGATGTGTGAGAAATTGGGACGTCTTGACTTAAGTCAAGGATATCTTAATACTTGTTGCGACAAATGACCAACAAAGCTTGATAATAAAAACAAGATAATAGAAACAATTAATTAAAACAAGTTTGGTGAAAAATTATAACTCCAACGTTTTTATTTAATTAGCACAAGCAGACTTTTAAATCAAATTACTACTTTATAAATTTTTGATTCTTAGATTAATTGAAATTCTTAAATTTAAATTATTCAGAAAATGTGTGTGCTTTCGTATATACACACACACACACACACACACACACACACACACACACACATGTCATAAATCTATTGTTTCTCTTATTATTATATTTTGTGTATACACAATTTATTTATATTTTATTATAAATTATAACATTATCTATATTATAATTCTTAATGTAATAAGAAAATTGTATTTATCGTTCGTGCGTGCGTATGTATATCGAGAATGCCTTTTAATGTATGTTGAGTTTTAATTCGAATGACGCCGGGCGTCGACAATGTTATGTTTTCAAAAATTTACAAAAAGCAGCGGAATCCTCAAACCTCTTTAGGAAAGAAAATATATAGATACGCCAAGTGCATGAAAAAGGTATCGAATATTGTATACCTTTTAATAAAAAATAAAATTAATGTAATTAGCCACAAGTATTTCATAACGCAAGGTATATAAGATGAATTGAAAGTGATTAAATGGTCAACTAGATTATACTTGATGAAGAATAAATATTGGTGTACGGGTATAAAGACTGTTATGGAATTAATCGAAATGGATTCCAATCGGAATTATTCAATAGGTATGCATGAAATGGAGGGCGGGAATTTTTGAAACATGGCGGGCCAATCAATACGCGACTTTCCCATGTCGTGATTCTTATCACTGATGAGATACTAATAATTAAAAGACGGTCAGCTCTCACGGAAGTTTGCTTGATTGTCAAAATTTAAGTGATTAAATGAAAATAAGAAACTGATAATATAGTACTAATTACATGATTTATTAGGTCGTAAATATGTATATATATTCAAAATAATACTCGTTTTTTTATTTAAAACTGTAATTTTAATGTTATCATTTGAGTTTGATTATCAAAAGTATGAGAAATGAATGAAAGATGTCGCCACGTATTATCGAATTTGGAATAGTTCTATCGATAATACAGATGGCTCCAGCATCCCCTTAAAGATGTCACCACGTTGTCGCGCAGCAAATAATAATGGTTCCTTTTTATCCGGCCCATCCCTTCCCAGTTCCCTTCAGCATTCTTTTTTAGCTATTTCTATAGCCTCACTTTGACTAAGCATACTATAGTTCCACCTAACCCTTATTTATCCTTATTTTCTAGTTGTAATTGGTTGTACTCAGTTGTAATTCACTAGTAACGCTGTAATCAGCTGTAATCAATTGCGTAATATACGATGTGGTTATATAGCACTCGGTGCTTTTGGCCATCGCATTTAAATTGTCATCAGTGTTGAATAGTGTTATTGATTGCTAGAGATTTGTTCAGGACGCTATAAAAAAAATGGCACCTACCATTCAAACCAACAGTAATCAAGCTGATCGGGATAAACGCGTGGTCAGGCCAGCAGAGAAGCGGTAAATAAGCACACCAGCGAATATGATATATATTCGTAATTGAATCATTATTATCATAAGCAATACAACTGTAGCGTTGCTATTGACCTGTGCTTTTTCAGGTCTGAGCTCATATGCAGAGTAAAATATTGCAATACGCTGCCGGATATACCATTTGACCCAAAATTTATAGCTTATCCCTTTGAACCAACCAGGTGAGTAATGTTTGATCTGTCAAACTGTCGCTTACATCCTTTCGTCTTGTAATAATTTATCATGTTTATAACAGGTTTATTCAATATAATCCAACCTCATTAGAGCGTAATTACAAATATGAAGTATTGACAGAACATGATTTAGGTGTAGAAATTGATTTAATAAATAAGGACACATATGCGGGGGATCCAAATGCTCAATTAGATCCAGCTGACGAAAAGCTGTTGGAAGAAGATGTGCTGACACCTCAAGATTCTAAACGATCTCGACATCATGCCAGGAGTGTTTCGTGGTTGAGACGCACAGAATATATTTCCACGGAAAGCACGAGATTCCAGCCACAAACAGCAGACAAGGTTGAAGCCAAAGTTGGTTATAGTATCAAAAAGAATTTCAAGGTATGATGTCTATTGAGCAAAATTTTTAGCGTATTTGTGTATTTGTGTATTTTCTAATTCAATTATTTTTAATTAGGAGGAAACACTGTACATGGATCGTGAGAGTCAAATAAAAGCTATAGAAAAGACATTTGAAGACAATAAAAAGCCAATTGAAAGACACTACAGTAAACCGAACGTAGTACCTATAGAAATATTGCCAGTATACCCAGACTTTAAGGTATCATTGTAATGTCTGTCAACAATATTGTCGTTATATATCTACGATTATAATTTTTATAATTTTTTAGTTGTGGAAATATCCATGTGCGCAAGTTATATTTGATTCTGATCCTGCACCAACTGGTCGATCTGTACCAGCACAGATAGAAGAAATGTCACAAGCCATGATAAGGTACAGCTTTGCTCATTTCTCTCTCTCTCTCTCTCTCTCTCTCTCTCTCTCTCTCTCGCACGCGCGCGCGTACACACACACACACACATAGAGTAATTTTATACAATTCAAAAGAAAATGTATACTGAAAAGAATTATTATTTGCCTTATCATCTAGTTAATTTAGATATTATTAGATTATTGTGCAAGATAATCATAATTCTTTTATAGAGGCGTGATGGACGAGAGTGGTGAGCAATTTGTAGCTTACTTTTTGCCGTTGGAAGAAACTTTGGAGAAACGTCGACGGGACTTTACTGCTGGTATCGATTACGCCGATGAAGAAGAATACGAGTACAAAATGGCTAGAGAATATAATTGGAACGTCAAGAGCAAAGCTTCCAAAGGATACGAGGAGAATTATTTCCTCGTGATAAGACAAGACGGGGTATATATATATATATATATATATATATATGAGCGCTGCACTATTATATGACATGTTATAATTTTGTGATTTGTCACATTAATCCATCTGTATATCTCGCAGGTTTACTACAATGAATTGGAGACACGTGTGAGACTAAGTAAACGGCGCCAGAAGGTCGGACAGCAGCCAAATAACACGCGCTTGATAGTGCGTCACCGACCGCTAAACGCCAATGAATTCAGAATGCAAAGATATCGAGAAAAACAATTGGAGCCGCCGGGAGAGGAGGATGAGGATGAGGAGGAGGAAGAGGAGGAAGAGGAGGAGGAGGAAGAGGAGGAGCAGGAGACTCAACAAGAGAAAGCAGATATGGTAGCTAAAGGTTTGTTTATTCTATTTACTATGATATAATTGGAGAGGACTAGCACTTTGAAAATTTTTTCGATAATTAGAAAATTTGTTGGCAGGTTCCGAAGCAGAGAACGAGGAAGGATCGACGCGCGCGTCGTCAAGAGCATCCTCGCAGGCGTCTAGTAGAAAATCGCGATCTCGTTCCAAGTCTGGCTCAAGATCGAAATCGAAGTCGAGATCAAGATCTAGATCTAGATCAAAGTCGAGATCGAGGTCAAGATCGCGTTCGCGTTCGCGTTCACGTTCACTGTCGCGGTCACATTCAAAATCTAGATCGCCGTCTCGATCGCGTTCGCCATCTAAATCACGCAGTAAATCACGATCACAATCACGATCACGATCACGATCACGATCACGATCACGATCACGATCACGATCTCAATCTCGATCTGGCAGTCCTCAATCGAGAAACACATCAAAGTCGAGATCTAGATCCAAGTCGAGATCGCGCTCAAGATCGCCTGCGAAATCACCATCGGGATCTTTGTCAACCTCATTGTCCGTGTCGCCGTCAAGATCGAGATCCGGTACTGGTAGCGGTTCCGGTAGCGCGACCGGCGAAAGCGGCTCCGAGAGCGAATGAATCTAGATGCGCGATCAATAATACTAATGTAATTAATTCATTTCCACTTGAATCATTATTTCAACGAATGTTCGTTTGTACCGTCGATATTTTTAAATATACCAGTCCTGCCGAATATCAGAATAATTGCATACTGAAAAAATAATGAAAAGGAATTCTTTAATAATTATTATGATAAGCAATCGTTACAGGATCGTTCAGTGGTACGATCAAAGAAATAAATTTATATTAGCCATATATACATATATATTTTATGCACTGAGGTAGTTGCTACGATAATCTGCAGATATAAGAAAAAAATCCATCATTGTGTTTCGAAAGATGTAGTACTTTTATGATATTTAATTTTGCATGATATATGTACTTTGGTCGGGAAATGAAATAAGAAAAAATAAGACTTAAATTGTTTGAAGATTTTCCGGTGCAATATTGGCGACAAATCTGTTTTATAATTTTTATTTTCATTTTTTTCCATCGATATGCGTTTATTTTGATTCGATTGTAAACCAACTATGTGAAGCGATTAAAAAAAAAGACAGATTTGATAGAGCTATCTGTTATTTGATTAATATCCTGTGCAAGTTTTTTGATATCGCAAAAAAAATCGCTCATATATTTGGACAAATTGGAGAAACGAGCGCAACGTAATTTTCTCAAGAGTGTGAGACCAGAGAGAAATCTGGAGGTGATGACATGAAGGTGAGGGTTTTTACTAACTATAAAATATGAAAGGAGCTTGGGAGCGGTTATGCCCGGCCGGGATTTTATTTTAGCTATTATTTTGAAGCGCCTCTATGTCCACAAAATGTGGACATTCAACTACGTAGCTAATATCCACGAGCTGGTCGATAATGCCCACGATTTTTTGGTTATATTCACGTTATATTCACGTTATATTCACAAATTTCGGTCGGTTAGGCAGACAACTGTAACCAAAAAAGATCTCTCAGAATACAATGGAGATATTTCCTGGGTAAGGTTATACGCAACTTATCTAGAAGTGAAAAAATTGGGCATAATTGTCTTGTAACAAGACGTACTTATTACAAGCGCCGACAGATTGATTGTTCGTCTTTGTCTATCTAACGGACCAAAATTCGTGACATAGCAAAGATACAACCAAAAAATCGTAGACATTACCGACCAGATTCATGGATATTAGCTACGTAGTTCAATATCCACATTTTGTGGACATAGAGGCGCTTCAAAATTAAAATAAAGTAACAGCTAAATCACGGCCGAGCATGGCCACTCTCAGGTTTCTCTCTGCGAAAATACTTTGCACACTACCGCCCTCTAAAGAAGTGGATGTCAACTACACAGCAATAAAATCTTTATTGAATCTTTTCTTGCACGAGGAAAGATTCAGTATCAACTTCATGACGCGAAACAGATCGGTATTCATAGTCGATTCTTACATTTAAGACTATCTTAGGTATGTACAGTCTTAAGATGTAAATCAATCCGAGGATGTATTAACATCTTGAGACATTATATTTAAGTTAATTTTAAAATAAAAACGGACTATGAATACCGCTCCATGTTTTTCGCCTTTCACTATTGGCAGACTGCGCACTTATAGACAACGCGGAGCAAAAGTAGGCATAAAATTTGGTCAAACTGAACACACCATTTGATGTAATCTGATGTAATCTGATGTAATCCTTCCACCATGGATTAGAGGATACTCGTTTGCGCATTGCGTCATCTCTTATACGACGACACGACGGACACGATCTATCCGAATGAAGGCGTCGATGCCGACAATTGCCGAAGGGCACATGGCAGTCTATCTATGTGACTCTCCGTGCCGTGGATATCGCAGATGCTGCCGCTAATGCCGCTGATGGCTGACGGCTGACGGCTGACTCAGCTGACTGGTGAGTCAGGAGAGTGGTGGCACTGATGGCTACTGGCTGGTGGTTTTAGCGTAGTGGCTGTGGTTAAATGGTTACTGGTGATTACGTTCGATCACGTTGGATCACGTTGGATAAAGATTAAGCAAGGTAGTTTAACGGGGATTTAACGAAAAGTACGAGAGTCGAGTAGGTAAAAAAGAGCCACGTGGACGAGCCTTCCATTGTTCCGCATCGCGATAATGAATCTCACATGCCTGCGTATATATGCGATAGTGTGCCAGGTGCCTCGTGCATTAATTTAACATTGTTTGGTGTGATTACGTGCTCCGTAGTCACTAGTCTGTCTTCGTACCGGAACTCATACCAGCTCCACTCCATTTCTCTCTCTCTCTCTCTCTCTCTCTCCCTCCCTTCCTCCCTCCTACGCATACATGTATATGTTTAGTCAAATATATGTGTTCAAGCGTGCCGGAAAGGTGCACTTGAAATGGATCGATACAAGTGGACAAGTTGGCGTACCACGCGTTGCGAGAGAATGCAAACAGAAACCGGCGATATCGTTTCGTTTCAAATTTTATGTTCGAGACGAAGGAGAGGGAACGCCGTTCGCATCGTACTTGGCATCGTATTCAAATTGTCGTTTGAACATTTACATTGATGCAATCGCTGAGCAACTTATTACATATGCTGAAAACATTCACCCTGAGAGAGAGAGAGAGAGAGAGAGAGCTAATTGCTGTCTCTTTCTTCCACTTCCCTCTCTTCTGCACAATCCTACTCTGGTGATATTGCAATTGACTGCAATGATCCATCCATTTCACTGCGCGAGATAAACAAGTCGATGGACAGTTTTATATCCGTATTATCGCGTCGCGCATAATTTCATCAATCATCGTGCACTCCGCGAGTGGAAGAAAAAACCATGACGAGGTGAGTGAGAGAAAGAGAGAGAGAGTGAGGAGGGGGGAAGGAGGTGGAAGAGAGAGACGTATCCGTTTGGATCTCTCGATGATGATATCACGGGGATCAAAACCGACGAGGACGGAATCCCGACCGGGGCGGTGAGTAGAAGTAGTCACACGATGCGGATGACCGATGGACGAGAAGGAAGAATCGCGTGGATACCACCCGTGAGAAAAAAACAAAAAAATTGTCGAAAAAAATGATAGAGTGAAACGGCTGTTTTCCGTTATTTGCCGACGCGGTCATATATATAATACATCGACATACTCGATGTTTTTCATTTATACATATATATGTGACGGAGTGTCGTATATTGCGCACCAACCAGCACAAACGATCGCCGCCGCGGTCGATGATGTCAGATTTATATAAGAGTTTAATGTTATCAATTCGCAGAAACGAGCCGAGCAGGGACGATTGTAGCTAACAATGTGTGAGTGAAATCATTGCGATCTTCCAACATATTTTTAAAAAATCCTCCCATCTGCAGGTTCGTTAAATTTGTTAAGCGAAGCGAGATATTCTCGGGAATGCTATTTTTCTATTTATGGCATTACTATTCGGCGATACTTAATCAAATTGGAAAGCATAGATTCGCAACGCGAAAGATTGAATTGAAAGAATTAATTTCTCAAAGTTGTGCCATATACAATGTATAAATATTTCAAGGATTTCATTATGACACATATTGTTTACGTTATGCGAGACACAAGCAATGCAAAATGTGTAAATTGTTATAAGTTTTGCAATTGTTAATACATCTGCAGATAGAACTTTATTTTGATAAATAAAAATATACATATATAAGCGAGACGAAAGCTTTAATGCAGTTTAATGCAATGACAAACAACACAGGCTTCGATAATTCATAAATAGTTTACATAGATGACATGCAAGACATGTATTATATAGAGAGCCTATAATCAGAATGGCGCCATACGAGTATCACTTGTGATTGGTCCGCCATGTTTTAGCCATTCCCTCCAGTTTTTTAAACGCATTATTTTCTAAATTTTGAATTCATGCTAAAAAATGCTCAAAAATTGTGACAAATTGTGACAAAAAATAATAATAATAAATAAATATTGTATGTAAAATAATAATATATAATATATACTATTGTATATAAAATAATAAAACTTTTACATATATTATTTATTATAAAATTTCATTTATTTTGTACTATTGCAATATTGTACATTTTTTATTATAATATTGCACATTACTTTATACAAAACGTTATTTATTTATTGCACATTATTTGCGCTATTAAATGCGCTAGTTTATTATCCATTCTCTGTTCCCACATTTTAGGAGCAAAATAAATCTGTAATAATATAAAAGAAATCAAAAATTCAGAAAAATATTGGGTCATCTAAAAAGTATCCGCGGTTTTTTGTCACTAGATGGTGTTGATGGTCAACATTACCTAGTGACAAAAAACCGCGGATATTTTTTAGATAACCCAATATTATATATGTATATATCATTTTGTAAAATATTATATATTAAATATCGTAATTATCATATTATTTCATTTAGATTCACAATGCAATGATAATTGAAAAGATTACGACAAAAAGAGAAAGAATTAAATTCGTAACCAATGTGATGACTATACATATACTTACCAAGACACTACCGTTTCTTCAGATATTATAATTAATCTGTGTATATTTTATGTTACATTTTTATTTTAATATTTTAAATACATTATTTATAAAGAATAAATTACTTTACCTCACATACAGATGAATTTTTTGACGGTGTCCAATTTTTATATTTGCCATTTACACTCTTTAACCAATTCATTCGGCGTTCTGTGTCTTTCGGAATTATTTTCATAACATATCCTTTTTTTAATGAATTGTTACAAAACGGTATTGTACATCCAACCATATTTCTAAACTAATTTCGATAACTTTATTTTTATCAATGTACCTTTACGTATCTATGTCGTTCAATGCTGTTGCACCTAACCCTAAAACTGACAGTCTGTTGAAAACTGTCTGAATAGACTGAGATCGTATATCTCGTTCTCTCTTGCAGAATTTTGCTAAAACATGGCGTTATCTCTCGTATGGCGCCACTCTGATTATAGGCTCTCTAGTATTATAGTCTACACATTTGTACGCGTAGATAGTTACGTAGAATTCTGATTAATTGAAAGAAATTCTGTGGAAAACTGAAAATGATAGCTTCTCTTCTAATTTAAGCCGCAGTCGCGCGTCACGATGAAATCCGTTGGCGGTTTTCGAGAATATCGAGTCAAGGCTGTCCTGGCTATCGTCTCGAATGATGCACGCGAAAATTTCTTTTCACAAAACAGCGACCTCGAGGCATGGCCTTATTGAGTAAATATCATAAATACGGAGCACATTGGCGTTACGCGACAGTTAACATAAAATTAACGTAATAAGTCTGTGCCGAACGTTAAAGCACAAACCGATATTAATATTTGTTAAGCGTCTACTTCTCTAAGGGGCAAATTGTGATCATTAGCATGATGCGGTTGAAAACAATTGCGATTTACCACGTATGTAGGTGTTTCAATGTACGGGAAAAAAGATATAGTTCAAGTTTGAAGTGTTCTTGGAGCGAACAATCGTCAAGTTCTAAAATAAAGATGTAGTATATTGTCAAATAGCTTAAAAGCTGTTGCTATATACATTTAAATTTAAGATACGTTTTATGTTTAATTGTAAGAAAAGAGAGAGAGAGAGAGAGAGAGAGAGAGAGAGAGAGTGATTAGATATTTTTACTGTCCTCGTCTCAATTTGTAACTAACCGAGACTTGTCTTTGCATGTTAATTTAGATGCCGAAAAATAAAGAAAATAGCAAGCGAAAGAAGCAAATGGAGGACGAGGGCGACGAGGATTATCGAAAGCGGCGGGATCGAAATAACCAGGTAATCTATCAATTTTGCATGTAAATTGTTCATATGTTGCATATGTATGTACTATATATCATAGTTGTTTCCGCGCTGTCCACAGGCTGTGAAACGATCGAGAGTGAAGAGTAAATTACGTACGCAACAAACCTTGGAACGAGTAAATCAATTGAAAACGGAAAACGAATTGTTAGAGGAGAAAATTAAAATGCTCACCAAGGAGCTTGGGTTTCTCAAGGATCTTTTTATTGCACACGCAGGTAGGTATATCGTTATTAGGATATACAAAATTATTGTCAAATTGTTAAATCTTTTGATATACCTTATAGTTTGTAGATTAAGTATTATATAGACAATTTCTACATTTATTTCTTGTGTTTTATCTCTGATATACGAGTAGTATATTCATTATAACAACACACACGATTTTAGTTGATTATTTGTTTAAAAATAAGTATATTAGTCAAGTACATACACACACACACACACACGACAGATTTTATTGTTTTACTTTTAGGAGGTTCCGGTCAACACTCAATGAACATTCAAGATCTAGATCTGAATTCTCTCCTGGCGGAAGAAAAATCGACGGAAGAATCATCAGTTATAAAGACGTCAGTTATCAAGTCGACTAGCAAGCTGTAAACTTATATAAGCTCCACGAGAAATCAGCGTGGTATTAAATTTGAAAAACGCGAGACAGTATTTTGTCTTTCATTCGCTCGATCAAAACAGAGCAAGTGGACATCTTGGAAAGATGTTGACTTGAAATTCATTGAAAAAGATTCTAGATGCGAAGAGCATTTTCCGAAGGCGGATTTTTCAAGTTGCAGTGCATCGTCAGTGAATTATCGTCAGTTAAATTTACAACTTGTCAAAAACTGATGGAGGCGAGAATGATGCAACTGTCGCATACAACTCGCGATAAATTTGAGTACGAAAGTATTCATTTTAATTGTTAGCCAGTGAAGAAAAAATAATGTAAACGGTACACGACAAAAATATCACCAATATGTACATGTTGCAGATATTAGAGATATTATATTATACGTATAATGTCACATGCGATCGTATCTTGTACTAACGTACTGTATTCGCGCGAGATGTGGCTTTTACTGTGAGATGTATTTACATATACATATGGAAATAACAAAAGGAGAATTTTTTTTTAAACATTTATAAATCAAATAACGAATTATTGACATCATTAAAATATTAATTTTATTGATTGTAACGTACAAATACATATGTATATTATACGAATATAATTTTTCGAAAATATTTTTACTTTCGTAGAGGAGCGTTTTCGACATGTATCCAACTTTTATTAAATTAGATTGGTTTAGCGACAATATAGTTCGGTAGTTTTCCCTAATACAAACATTTAAATTGATTGCACATTGATTTGAAAATGCTTATTTCAAATGTCCTTTCCTTCTGATTATCAATACCTATTAGGGCAAATTAAAATTTGTTATAGTAATCAGATTCTTCCAATACGTTACTAATAATACGTTTTATACATTACATTCGAGCAATGTAAATAAATCAACAAGAAAGTTATCGTTGTGTGGTTTGAAATTTGGTTTCAGTACCATTAGAAACATACAAATTTTTATTTTATAATATAATATATACCGAAAGGCATTTTAACGTGAAAAAAACAAGGTACGCAATTAAATTGCCAGTGGTTGGCAAAGACTGGATGACTCGGAGGGTCATCTCCTGCCGATAGCCTCACCTGTATGCTTCTGTGTGTTCGTAAAGTGTGCATCGTCATACTGACCGAATAAACCCCGAAGATACATAACGTTTTATATTCTAGACTAGCAGTCTTGGCGCATTTTCCTCTCGATAAAAAATTTGCCTTTTAAATTTTTAGCATCCGGGAATATTAATCATGTTTCTCAGAATTTTCGTGGAAGCAAGTGAAAGATAATTACTTACGTTAGTATAAAAAAGATAAAGGCAACGTTACAGGATTCCAAATTGAGATTTATTTATCTTGGATATATGTGATGCTTTTTAAAAAGTCAAGTAGAAGAGTGAAAGAGCAAAGTGCTTTTAATTACTAAATTTAGCGCTAGGGAACGTGCTAAAAAAGAAAAACAAATGAAACACCACTCGATGATGGTCCGGCATCGGAGTAGAAGGAGGGCTGCACAGGGCAGTACAGGGCACCTTGAATTCCGCACACATGCCTGAGTCGTTTATATCACAGCACTGACCGCGCTGCCCGCTGGTGCCGGTCTAGCAGACGACATATTGGCTGCCAGGGGCACCTCGCCGAGTCGCTAGCGCCTCAAAGTCGAACGTTTCGGTTTCGGCACCAGGCTCTTTCGATTTTCGGCCGCGCGACTCACGAGTTGGTTTCTCTGGCGATACTTGAGTGAGGAGGAGAGACAAGCGCTGGTGACGAAAGAAAGACATTTTTCGCAAAAGGGTTACTCTTACTTGCTTTTAAAGAGTAAGAGTGCATATGTAAGGACAGCGCGAGAGAAGGTACGCAAGGGTGCGAATTTTATTCCCCCGAGTGTTGCCGTGGTCGTCGACGAGGAGTTGTCGGCACAGGAAGAGTGGAATAGAAGAGCGGAAGAAGCGGGAAAAGAACACGAAAAAAAAAAAAAGAAAAAGACGAAAGACTCAGAGGGGCTGTCTTATGAACAAAAAAATGTCCTGTCGAGGACAAGATTTATAGGAGAGGATCTATGAGGAGGAGCAGAAAAGGGGCTCGTAACTCATAATAAGTCATATCGGCGAAAAGCACAGAGAGAAAGGAAGTCACAAACGCGGGAGGGCGGGGCAAGATTTTCCCTTTTTTCGGTCAATTAGTGCCGTCGCGCTGGCGTCTCTCTGGATTCTCTCTGGCATCAGTCTCTCTGGAGTCTATCTCTTTCAACTGTTGAACGTCTCGCCATCGTCATATCGGCGGAATAAAGAAGAGATCTGATTCGCGTCGAGGAAGCGAGACGAAACGAAGCGAGGTCGTGCATTTTACGTGCACACGCGCCGTGTGTTCTTACTAACAAATCGGATTCGCGTGTACATACATATCTGTCTCTCTCTCTCTCTCTCTCTCTCCTTCCGTCCCTCCCTCTTTCGCTCTCCTCCTGTCGTCCCTGTCTCTTGTACCGGCCGTATCGTCGGAGACGTCGCGATGAGGAGGAGAGGAGGAGAGAGAGGAGAGAAAGATAGAGAGAGATCGCGCTTCACCTCGCGCGACTAACGACACTACCAATAAAGACTATAGAGAGGGAGGGGGAGAGAGAGAGAGAGAGAGAGAGAGAAAGAAAGAAAAGTCGTGTTCCGCGTGGTTTACGTGCGTTCGTGCGTGTTGCGGGAGCAGCCTCCACGTGAACGAAACACAGATTCGCGCCGTGTCTCGATCTCTCGACCTCTCGACTTCTCGACCGTGGAGGTAACTTGGACGTCTCCGTCGTCGTCATCATTGCACTTCTGACTCGACCAATCGCTGCCACCGTCGCCGGGTGTCACGCGCGTTTGCTACTGTGTGTGTTCTGAACTGGACAGCAACGCCCGGAGGTGACTGCGGTGAGGCCACCATTCGATACTCGACAGTTGAGATCGACATCGACATCGTCCGTCGTCGCTGCAGTTGGCCGCAGTTGGCCGCAGTCATCAGTCGGCTGCTCGGCAGTCGTCGACACCCTGCCGATCGAGACGTTCGTCCCTCTCTCCGTTTCTCTCTCTCTCTCTCTCCCCTCCCCTCCTCCTCCCTCGCTTCGACGTGAGCGGTAAGCGAGCGAGAGAGGTGGTCGGCGCGCAACACCGCGCGAGAGGGAGGGAGAGAGAGTGAGCGCGCGACACAAGGCTCTCTCGCACTCGCAATCAGTCTCGCCCGGCGCGGAGCGGAGCACTGCGGAGCACTGAGTTTATGGTGCGTGATGGTATGGTTTCGCGGCCAGTGGAGGCCGTCAGTGATAGAGTGTGTTCGTGAGAGTCGTGAGTCGTGAG